CCGAACTACAAGGGAAGTGGCCCGAGAGTGTTGAAGGTGGTCCTACAGTCAAACATATGGTAGCACGACTACAAAAGTACTGGTACATGTTCTGTTGCAGGATACCATCTGAGCTTCGGCTGAACGCAGTCAGCGATATGCCTCCTAGAGATGATATGTCACTCAAGGTACGAAACGCGATCGGATCTATGAGAGCACAATGCACCAGTATACTGTCAAATTAGCCCATACAACTTGTAGAAGATGATATTGATCAGACAACCTACACTGTACGTAGAAGTTTACACACGGGATTAACTACGCGGACGATGGATAAGACGTTAAACCGTCCGCCAAATAGACATCGAAAAAGCGATTAGTCCCCGGCCACTCAGTGGTCGGTGACTGTTTACGTATGAATTGCACAACCTACGAAACATTGCTTAAATCTGAGAAACTTTCATGTATGTACACTAACGCCCAAGCGCTCCTCAGTAAACATACCCAACTTCCGCTATATTAGGTTGCGGATCCTTGGGACCTGGTTTCTATTGGCGAAACTTGGTTACACCAAGAGGTAACTGATGCTGAGGTTGAGATAGCCGGAATGTCACTCATCCGGAATGACCACCCCAACTGAGGAGATCGGATCCTACTCTACTACTACAGCGATCTGCAATGTGCAATAGTTGATGATCTGGAAACTCACGTTATCGACTCACTCTGTTGCCGTTTCCGACTAAGACACAACGATGCATGTCTCGTAGCTGCCGTTTACCACCCCCCAACGTCCACCCCAGAAATGGAATCCCGCTTGCTACGTGGCTTGAACAGAGTACCACGCACTAAGTACAGCCACATTCTCATCTCCGAGGACTACAATCTACATAATCTGGAGATTTCGGCATCGTCCAGTGAGCAGTTCAAAGCAGACTTGAGTGAACTGATCGGTAATATTCCCTTGTACAATCCTGTCACCACGCCCATTAGATTCAGGACATCAAACAAACCGTCCATATTGGACCTTGTGCTCATGAATGAAGAGCTCATGGTTGACAAGTTATTGATGCATAGTCCATCAGGTCTCAGTGACCAAGCAGTAATAACATTCAACTCTGTGTGTTATGCAGAGTATCCATTAGAACACACGGAACTAACGCATACAATCACGCCCTACCACGTAATGAAAGAACTCTTCGACGCAGCTGCTTGGAATTCTCAAACAACAGTCCCCATGACAACGTTTAGACAGGGTTCGTTTATATACTCAGTGACATCGTCAACAGAGCATCAGAGACCACGCCCCTTCGTCCCGCAGAATGGCTTTCAGTTAAAAGGGGCAAGACTCGAAAATGCTTGGCGATAACGGATGCAGCATGACGTGTCTAAAAGATTATCCCCGACTCAGAGATTTGGGATAATTTCCTGACAACAAATTGCTGTATAGGCATGTCAATAATCTGCATAATTGCAGCATGGAATCACTCCACTTTTCACGACAGGCGGTAGAGCACAAAGCCCCAAGAAGCAGCGAATGCTCTGCAGCTACAATTGGTCAGAATTTTTAAACTCTCAGATTCTAGCTGTCCCACAATATCATGCAGATTACGGACTCCATTGTTACACATGTAATTTTCAACCAATCAATTGTGCTAAGGAATTCGCTCTCACTGCGGGAGCAGACAACATCCGCCCGAAGGCATTGAAGGCTGTGGCCAACAAGCTAGCTGAACCACTGTCACAGTTATTCCAAACGTGCTTTAATGGAAATCAAGTCCCCACTATGTGTAAGCGTGGCATTGCCATCCCCATTTTTCAAGGCGGTGGCCGTTCAGAGCTTCAAACTATCGCCCAGTGACTCTCCTCCTTGTGCTCGCGAAACTGATGGATACGGTCATCGCTGAGGCTCCAATGGACTACCTGGAAAAATGCGACATCTTGGCACCGGAGCAGCATGGATTCCGTCAACACCGGTCACCAATCTACTGATTGCACGAGGTAGTTGGACGGAAGTGGCTGATGATAGGGTCGGAGTTGACGTCATCCATCTGGACTTCTCCAAAGTTTTCGACCGCCTGGATCACCGCATTCTACTTCACCGGCTACAGAGATACGGAACCGGAGATCCTGTAGTTGGTTGGTTTGGCGACTTTCTTCACCAACGGAAGATTCAAGTACGCGTTAGGGGATCATTCTCTAACCCGATTGAGATGGAATGCGGTGTTCCACAAGCTCATTGCTGGGACCGCACTTATTGCTCATGTTTCTCAACGACCTCGCAAGAGTTATCTCCTCAAATTTCCTGCTTTTCGCCAATGACGTCAAACTATGGCGGGCGATTAGAAACAATGGAGATCACGATCTACTCCAACGTGACCTAGGTTGCATTAATGAATGGTCAGAGAGGAACCTGCTTCAGTTGAACATGGCTAAGTGCAACATGACACATCTGCGTCACCAGCCAGTGAGCGTTTACAAGATTGGAGAGCACATTTGGAAGAAGGCCTCTTACGATCGTGACCTGTGTTTACTGGTACAGGAAGATGTGGAGTGCTCAAAACAAGCAGAGCACGCGACGAGAACCGGCAATCAACACTTCGGCCTGCTTCGTAGAGCCTGCGGTCGGTTTGAAACCTCAAGATTTCCCCCACATGTTTAACGTCTACATGCGACCGCACGTGCATTATACTATTCAGGTGTAGCAGCCGTGGTACAAACAGGATGTTGTCACTCTCGCGAATCCTTAACCTAGTGCAACCAAGAACGTCAGGAGCCTCTTTCATCTGTCCTATCATCTTAGACTGAAATCTCTAAGTATGTACAGTAGTCGATATGCGCCATTGCGGGGAGATCTCATAATGGTTTACGAGATTCTGACGAATCCAAACCACATTTGCCGATCAGTGCTGGTATTGAACCACAACATGAACCTAAGAGATCATCCTCTGAAACTGACAATTCGGTATAGCCGGATTGAATGCCCTAGGATTTTCCATTCGCTCTGCGTCTGTCAGCCTTGGAACGCCCTAGCTAATTATCTTGTCTCTACTAACAATCTGGCGATAGTTAACAAACTATTTGACGATGCGTTGCCCATTTGTATTTCGTTGTATAAATTATTAGCCAGTGGCTACAAAACGTAATCAAACGGTGTCTTAGCATACTCCCGACCAGTGGATTTATGTATGTATATTTTAATACGCAAACATCCCCGCTATTCTACATAAGTCTATGCTGAGTCCACCAAATCGCTATCACTTTAGAATGCAATTTGCTTTTCGCAATAATTCTTATCCCACGGGACCTGTGAAGCATTGTATTTTTACCCGTAATTCATCATGGATATAATTCCATGATGTAATCCAATTGGTCCAGCAGTATCCAGGAACTGTAAGCTAGCGGAAAGCAAACGATGTAACGGCAAATTCGTGTTCGATGCTCTCTTTCCATTGAACTAGAGGTAGTTTCATCGATTGCACAATCGCAGCTTGAGATCACAATCTATGGGATTAGATGCAAAGTGAGGAGTTGATTTCAGTAAGAGAATGTATATGACACGTTTCAAGTCACAGGTGTAATAAGACAAGATTCTGTTGTGAAAAATTCCCAAAGAACCAAGATTTATTTAGCAAAATACAAATAGGTGAACACATTAAACCACTGCAAACGGTGAAATCACGGTGGGCACATCTGGTCTCGGCAGTTCTCGTGAGGGTCTATGAAGCACAACCTTCTTCATGCAAGAAAATCATCTGTGGATCCAACGAGTTAGTACCACGCAAGATATCCCGCTTGAATTGTACCTCCCTCGGCTTCTCACGAGAGCAATCCTTACCATACTCCTTCAGCAGTTGTTCCACCAATTCGGGTACTTTTTGCGTGAGCTCGTCGTCAGGGAAGAAACATGGAAATTGAGCACAAAACTGCGCTGTTTCGTTGGTGATTGGGAGCTTCCACAAACGATTGAATGGAACCAGATCGTATCCAGACTCGTTGCAGATTTGCTTCATCCAAAAGTTTACCTTCCTCTCCTCAGTGTTGAAGGCCTCGTTCGAGTGGACTGCGCTGCTGATCACATTACCAACGAGAGCCGCGGTGAAGTATCTGTGGAAGTAATTGTAGTAACTCACTTGCACACCTCTGTACTCGGTGCCACGCCAAGTGGCTAACAGATCATTCTCATCCCCTTCAGTCCAGCCTGGTTGGAATCCCTTGGCGTAGGAATCAAGCCCAACCAGATACTTGTACATCACTGGGATGTACATGTTATTAGTCACTTCACCACCATGCATAAATGTGATCCGATCGACTTGCAGATTGTGACCAACTTCGTGTGGGATCCCAATTTGTTTCCCTTGTTGTATGCCTTGCTTCGATACAAGAGCGTTTCCCCAATACTTGTGACCCATCCACGGGTAGCCCGAATGACCATCACCAGCCGAGATTTGTTCATCGGTCACAAATACTTGCAGCCGATCGGTTGCATAGTCTGTGCCACGGTAATTGTGCATTAGCTTGACCATATTGTCATAGTGGTTGATGCAGTATATCATATCCTCCTTGCTGGTCCTCGTTGCCATTGATGTTTCGATCATGCTGATCATGTTATTACCGACTATCATCACAAAGGGAACGCCATGATGTTTACGACGCTCAACATCCCAGTTGTTCCTTGACTCCGGATTCCGAATATCAAACCACGGGTAGCGGTAAACGTTCTTGAAGTGGATGGTAATGTTCGCGGGCCCAGGAATCTCGACCACTATCGGACCTCCGAATGGTGAAGCGAACTCACCCTCCATTTCCAAATCTGCAGATGAGGTGACAGCAAACCAGCGTCTGAGTACCGAGTGTCTCACAGTGTCGGTTTGGGGGTTAACGCGGATACGGAAACCGTTGAGACTACCAGTGGACACATTGAGCCCCT